CATTTTAGTTCCGACGCCACTGTAGAGACATTAGGTTATTTCGAAGCAGGAGACATGAAAAATTTGCAGTGCCCTCACTGGGACTCGAACCTCGGACCTCTCGAATACACGCCGAGAGTACTGACCGCTACACCACGAAGGCATGCTAAGAAGGCCGGATAAATATATATTCCCCTTTCAAAGTTGTCTGCAGATTAGGGAAGCCAGTTACCAAATCCTGGTGTTGAAGAATTATCATCCACCACCTTTTAGTTCGAACGCCATTAGGTATTTTTTTTTTAAAGCAGGAGAGATGAAAAATAAGCAGTGTCCTCGCCGAGACTCGAACTACGGACCTTACGAATACGCTTGAAGTATGCTGACCATCACACCACAAATGCCTGCCAAAAGGAAAAAAATACCTTATAGTGTTATATGTTTTATGTTTATATGTAAGTAAAATTTATATTATATTTCGAAGTTTACAAAATACAGTACCTAAAGCATACATTTTAAATAAACATGCCTAATTAAACTACTATAGTATAAAGTAAATAATATAGCCTATATAAAGTAAAAATATAGCCTATATAAAGCCTATATAAAGTAAAAAGCCTGAAATAATTCTTCCATTTGAGTAGACAATCAACTTCTCTATATATTCTGTACCCACTAAGTATTTTAAAAGCATGAAAAACTTGCAATCAAGAAATTATTTAACACTGTGATGCAAATTTTTAATTGCATAAAAAGTTATTAAATTGTCTTTCAACGCCAGCCATTTACAATGTATAAAAATGCAACATGTAAATGAATTTATCTTCAATAATAAAAATCTGAATTTTATTTAAAGTCTTGCACACTACTGTGAAAAGTAGAAGTATATGAATAATCTATTTTGATTTTAACTGAAAGCAAACTTTTAATTATAATATACTTAATACATTTCAGAAAAAAAAATAAAGTTTTCTTTCATCTCATTAAAATGTTTCAGAATTTATACCTTCATAAAGAATTTTCTCCAATGAAAAATATGTGAAATATCTTATCAAATTAACATATGTATGTATGTACGTATGTATGTATGTATATGTGCTTTAATAAACAATTACTTGTGTGTCATAAAACAGTAATTGTAATGCCAAAATCCAATAACTTCTGCTTTCTAATTGTGAAACCTTTATGCAAACAAATACCTCTAATCATTCATTATGAAATACAGAAATGTATAATTTAATTGTGATCTTAAAAGAATGCAAGCTGTTCCTCTTAATATTCTAAATTTTTTCCATTAAATCAAGAAAAATATTTCACCTTTGATATTCAATGCATTAGACCTAATAAAATAAAAAAAATAAAAAAATGAATGAATAACCAAAAAACAAATTATCACATTCTTTATAAATTTACAAAAGGTATAACAGTAGAAATACTTTTCATTTATTATAATAATGCTGCAATTATTCGCACCTATTAATTAAATGCATTACAAAGTACAGTATTCTCCCCAACCTAATACGTGACTTAAGGTACATTTGTAGTTCTGTGAGTGCACAAAAGCTGTGACATTCAAATCGAAACTTTCGAAATAAAAATAAGGACTACATAAGCATTTTACCTTTTCTTCCACCAGTGCTTCTTGCATTCAAATAACATTCGCGCAGTTAATTAATTAATACCAGGCAAAGTTTGAAAAAAGGCCATGATAAGTCTTTTATTATTTAAATGACATTCATTCTTTAAAAATACAAATGCTATTTTGAAGAAAAAATAATGAGAGAGTACCATTAAAAATTCTTTATTCAAAATACATTAAAAAAAAAAAAAAAAAAAAAAAAATGGAATTTGTCCGAAGCAAAATTTATGCCTTTCTTATTAAAGAAATCAAAATTTTCATATAAAAAATAAAAATAAATAAAAATGTACATAGTTGTTGCAACGTGGTAGGATTCAATAACACTTTGTAATCACTTCATTATTTTTTCCCACGCAAAGGCATCTCAAATTTCGTCATTTTCTTTTAAGCAAATACTTGACGAATTCTCGGCCACTTCCACTGGGCTGAGTAACTGTAACTGACTAGACAGGAATTTCGTGGTCAGGAATATCTTCAATTCTAAGCAAGTTCTTAGAATACAAAATGAACCGCAATCTCGTATATAGTTGTTTTTAAATTCTTTTAGAAGTTCCAAGTCGGTAGAAACTATCCTTGTTCACACTCATTGCAACTGACAATATATTGCATAATTATTATATAATTTCTATAGGCATTGTGTATAATATATATATGTAATATATAATATTGTAGAGTCATTATAACTTTTTAGGAAGCAGAAGACGCGAAAAATGAGCAATGCCCTCTCCGGGACTCGAACCTCGGACCTCTCTAATATGCGCCGAGTGTGCTGATCACGATGGCGGGGAAATACCTTATATACTCCCTCTTTTAAAGGGCGATTGGGGATTAGGGGACCCAATCGTGAAATCCCGGTGGTGGAGAATCATCATCCACCACACTTTTTCTTTGTTCGAGCGCCACTGTAGAGTCATTAGGTTATTTCGAAGCAGGAGACAAGACATGAAAAATGAGCAATGTCCTCGCCGTGATTCGAACCTTATATAATAACATATATAGGACCAAGTTTCCTTTAGAAAGTCTTCCACGAGGCATCTCTTACTTTGGCCAGAAAGCTATAGTCGAAATAAAATACTTACATCTTTTACAAATACTATCATAATTTTACCTGTACCTGTTTAGTTTAGTTTAGTTTAGTTTACGAGTATGCTGCAACCTCCTGGCCGACAATAATCGGCCTCATGGTTAACGCAGCACACCCGACACATACCTGTACCTGTATCTGTATCTGCACCTCACAGCTAAAATAAAGATATAAAAAATGAAAGCTTACCATAAAAATTTTCTAACCGATGAAAAATTAATGCTATTGGATTCGAATGTTTTGAAAGCAGTAGCTTATAGTTTACTCCTTAGTAGTTTATTGTTTACTCTTATTAGGTATATAAGCATCTAAATCATATAAGGGTTCTAGATACTTCATCAGGAATATAAAATTTTAAAGACCACGTTATCTTAAAAGTTCCAGCTAGAGCAGGATCAGAGGTTTTTTAACATGATTCGGGAATACAGTTTAGTTACACCACATCTGGATTTAAGATTTGCATTAAAAATATTTCCAGTTATTATTGTGAAAGAAATCTCCAGAAAAACTTAAATTAATGAAAATGCTATGCAAAATTTTCTCATGGATTTTTAGAAGAAGACTGAAATATTACTAGTTCCTGTTACATAATATTTTGCGTCTTCGCTGTACCTGTTTGCGGTCGAAGATGTAACTTCTCTCCGACCAATTTGCGACATATTTGTTACGTGGATCTGCAGCTGTCTATTGCCGTAGAAATGATCGCTAATCCATTTATGATAAGGGGGTTTTGAAGGACTGCTTTCCAATTTGGCATTCGGGCGCATTTAATGACGAAATGGCTTTCTCTAAAGTTTTTCTCTCCCGGGGCCAACGTTCGTCAAAAACAAAATGATATTAAAACATTCACTTGGCACACCCCAACTTGAAATGCACCAGTCTTATTGCTATAGTGACCGCCACCAAACAGATATAATAGCTAGAGCATTTTTCCTGATAGACAAACAGTAACAGACTAAAGTAGTTATCGGTCATTTTAACGAATATTAGCATTGGGAATAGGAAGATATGAGAGGAGGATGCATCTCCTTCTCACTACAGTACGTACACTATACATTTCGGTGCACTATACTTCTCGATATATGTTATTCGTTGACACGATCGTTATAGCTTTGTTTAAATTAATTCCAGTAATAGTCATACACATGCACATAGGCATACACATTTAAAATTTTCTGTTTTGGTTTCTGTCAGAAACGTTTGGGATAAAAGTTCTGTGTTTCAGGTAAAACGCTGAATAGTCTTAGGACGATAGCGCAAACACGCAAGGACAAGATCAACATGTGTAACCTTCGTATTAATTTTATTGCAAATTTTGGACTTAAAAGCTATCAGTAACTCAGCAGGAGTCACAGGACTGCCGTCACAGCCCTGATAGAACAATGCTGGTCTTCTGTCATCGCATCCTCACCCCGCCAAGGAGATTTCAGAGACAATTCGCCTCAATATTTTCTTATTTTTACTGTATTTTATCTTAAGGTACCTTAATGGTAGACCAATTTGATGAGCTCAGAGCATCTTAGGACGGTCCGAGATGCGCTCAGTCATTCCTTACTAGGAATGTAGAACCGATTGACATACATATCGGACTTCGCTTTTTGATGGGTATACGCACTGGTGTATCGTGTCGTTAAGGTATAAGAAGATCATACGTGCACTGTAAATAAAAAAAAATGCATTGCTTGAGAACAGTCTCACTATATACAAGTACTAACAAAATAATTTTTATTATATGCATTCGTAAAAGTGTCGCGGCGTAGTGATTAAGAATTACGGTTATACAAAATAAGAAGCAAAATAAATAGAAAGTAGCATTAGTTTGTTAACTTTGCAACTAGACTTGAGAAATTCATTCCTCACAGCTAACTGATTTTTACGTGTGAAGAGGCGGAAAGTTTTGCATTTCATTTGTTAAAGTATGAAACTTTTTCTAATTTGAGAACTTTGTATGTTTTTTAAAATACAGTATTTAACTCTGTGTAAAGGGTTAAGTATTGCATTTTAAAAATATTTGAACTTTACTGGTACAATTTTTCTAATGAAATTTTCTGATTTTGTACTGAAATATTTTAATTGGGATTATGTATCTAGGATCAATACTTACGAAAAACGCATATAGATATCCTTTTTATTTACACATAACACATATTTAGGTTTGAATTTAATTTTATTTATTTTAAAGACAAATTAATACTTTTTCACTACTATGAGATATAGCATTTATATTTTTTATTAAAAAATATTTGTTTTATAATTAACTTGATTTAATGAAAGTGACCATGATTTCTTTCCCCTTCCCAGTTACTTCTGATGTTGCTACTGATTGGAGCAGGTCTCCAGCCTTCATCATCAATCGAAGAGGAAGAAGAAAAGCCTGATGTCAAGTATAAAGGACCCATCGTGTACACCAATCTGCCACCTCCAGTGCTGTACTTTCCCAAGTTCCCCACAAAGCCAAAACTATCAAATAGAGGTTCTTCAGGGGACTTAGAAGACAAAAAGGTGGAATATGTTCCCTTTCCGTACAAAGATTTACCTCTTCTGGTCTATCAATCCGATAGCCAGCCACCGGTACATGTAGTCGAAAAATCTCCTAGTCAAGATACAAGTCCAGAGGTCACGACAATGTCTGACGAAAAAGATCAAATTATAAACTCCGCTTACCAGACAGGTCCCGCTATATATCAGATTTCGAGCAATATGCAGAGTAATCAGCCTCAGTATTCTAATGCGCAATCTACCAACACTCAGTCAAATTTAAACCACCAATATACAGGCAACATCATGACTTCTGGACAACAGCATTTTGTTGGTACTGGTAGTCCGCAAAATCAGCAGTACATAAGTATCGGCGTTTCTCCCATACAAACTCAAGTATCAAATGCTGGACTTCAAAGTATTCCGAACGCTCCTCCACCTCAAATGTCAGTGCCAGCTAGTCAATATCAGCAACAGCAAAATACCATGCCTAATCAAGTACAATATCCAGGGCAGCAAAATAGTGATCAACAGCAATACAGCATGACTACACAAATGCACAACTCAAATGAACAGCAAATGACTCCAGTGTCATCTCAAGTGCCATACTCTGGACATACTCTGGATGCTCAACAGTATCAGCAAGGGCAATACCAAGAACAACAAAATATGAAATTTTCACAAAATACACCAAATTCAATGCAAGTTCCAGCAAATCCACAACTGATCGCACAACAATTACAGGCTCATCAGCAAGTGCAGCTTCTTATACAGCAAAAACTCTTGCAACAGCAAGCACAGCAGCAGCAACAGTTCCAGACATATTCAGAACAGCAAGATAAAAATCCTCAATCTGGGAAGCCAGTAGTGATTCAAATGAGACCTGGAACAAGTTCGCAACCGCAGCAGCATTTGGGTATTTCCATATCAACGATCCAGCAACCTCTAATTCAAGTTAATCCCAAACAACAGCAACCTTACGAAGGAGATTCATCCTATCAAGTTATGCCCCAGTTGCATCAACATGCTTCTCAGCAACAAATACCTCAACAGCAGCATATGGTTCAACAACAGATGCCACAACAATATATGTCTCAGCAACAAATATCACAGCAGCAAATGTCTCACCCGGAAACGCTGCAACAGTACATGCCTCAGCAGCAAATTCCACAACAACATATGACTCAGCAAACGCCACAGCAACATATGACTCAGCAAATGCCACAACAACATATGACTCAGCAAATGCCACAACAACATATGACTCAGCAAATGCCACAACAACATATGACTCAGCAAATGCCACAACAACATATGACTCAGCAAATGCCACAACAACATATGACTCAGCAACCGCAAATGCCACAACAACTTAAGACTCAGCAAATGCCACAACAATATACATCTCAACATCAGATGCACCAGCAGCAGCAACAACAAACGTATTCAAATGCTGACCAAGATAATGAGTCAGATAACCCCCAATATGTAAGCATCGGTGTTTATCCTTTTAATATACCAGCAAGTCCCGATAATCAAAATATTCAGCAATACTCTAACGCAATGATGCCACCTCAAAAGGACCAATCTCAAAGTAATAATGATTTAGGATCGAAAGAAGAAAATCAAAATATGAATTTGATGAGTGTACAGAAGCAGCAGATGTCACCTGATAGTTCACAAATGCATTCTAATACAGGTTATCAATTTATAAGCATAGACCTTTCTACGATTGCTAATCAAAATGCAATTTACCAAATGAATTCATTGGCTGAACAAAACCAGCAATCTGATTCTCATGAACAGATGGAAGCTAACCAAGAACAAAGTTATGGAGGAAATTCGTATGACCCGCCCCGAAAAGAAAACGTTCAACAGATATTAATTCACATTCCTCACAATTTATTATCAGAGCAGCAATCGCAATCACAAAATCACATGGCAAAAGAGGCAGAATTACCATACACAGGAGCAGCGCAAGTGGTAAACTTCGTAGATGGATCGAACAAAATCTCAAACAGTCATTTAAGTGTTCCAAAATTTAATGGTGATAGACAACATCACCTACAAACACGTCCCACGTTTGGTCGCCCTTCCTCTTCCCAGCGTGTTCCAAAACAGGTTACACATGGAGGAGGTGGACTAAGCTTTAGCATGAGCCAAGCCAATTTTCCACATTCATTAAACATCCAGAAACCAGATTTCGCCGACTTTCGTGTTCCCCCATTTCCTCTCACAAAAGATTTTACAAAGTACTTCCACACAAATGAATTCTGTTAGATCAAAGAAATATCCTGAAAATCTATCTCATCAGAGTCACCATGGATACGGATTCGAACGGTATAGGAACTTGCCACAGTACCCAAAATTCAGGAATGGTTTCGGAAATTCACCCTTGGCAAGTAGTACATCTCCGCACGGTAGTTTCAGACATCTACATTCAGCAAATTTAGGCAGATACAAAAGTAAATCCGTGGTACCGCCTATTCATGGACATCCAGGAGTTTTTTCTAGTTCAAATGCTTATTTTACTTCCGTTAGTCCTGCATTTACGAAACATCCATTCAACAGGTACAATCCTTCTTTTTCTCCATCGCTAAGTTTCGAGCAATTTACTTCAAAAACGAATAAACCACATTTTATCATAAAAAGCCCATCAGATATTTCTGCCATTCACTACAGTCCTTTCCAGTCGACCTTAGCTGAAGAACTCCTGACAGAACCCAGTTTCCATACTCCAGGTTTTGGAAACAAGGGGCTGTCTTCAATATCGCACAATCTTACTAATAACTTGGCCATAGATGACGTGATGTTCGATGAAATAGACGAATTTTTAGATCCCAGTTATGAACTATTTGGCGGAGCTCCTAACATAGGACAAGGAAAGAAAACATCAGATGAACAAACGGACAAGTTTCTTCAGAAAGTTACCAGTGATATTCTCACGCACGACATAATGGGTGGATTACCGAAAGTACCTCCTCCTGTCCGTCCAGTCTACCATGCAATGAAACCTCTTCCAAACGCATTTAAAATTTCCTCACACGTACCACAGCATTTATACAATTACTTTGCATATGCCCCTGCCAACTTCGGAAAGCCTCCAATTATTTATCCTACAAGAAGCCACTATGGCCACTTTGTTTCTCACAGGCATCCAGTTGTCAGAGGTCATAGGCCCCATCCTCTATCCATCGTAGCTCCAAAAGGCGTAAAGAGAAATAGAGGAATTATTGGCAAACTGTTACGCAATGCTCTTTTGCCACAAAAAATGAAATCCAAAATAACAGCACGAGAAGAAGTGAAGGATGAGGATGACAGTAGAGACGAAGATAAAGAAGAGGTGGAAGATCTTAGGCGGCCTGTAAATGCCTCCCCCAGGTCCACAATTATAAAAACTGACCGACATGGATTGGATGGTATTTCAATACCTCTAAACATAGAGCAAACTTTAACCAGTAGAATTTCTGATGGCGATGACGAAGAAGATGACCAACCGAAGCCTCCAATAATTGTATATAAGGGTGTGAAACCGCCTATTGAAGTTTACGGAAGCAAAGACGATATAGAAAAAAGCAAAGAGAAAAATTCGGAGGAATCTGAAGACCCACTGCAGACGTCTTCATCTGATCAACAAATTACCAGTTACAGACCATACTACGAAGATCATACTACATCATTTGGTAGTCGAGATGGTATCGATTATGCGGATATGATGTATTCATTGCTTCCTGAGTTTATTAAGCATTCATTGTCCAGACGCAGCGATTTAAGAGGAAGCAGTGGAAAACATGATGAGGCATGGTATCCAGTAAAACGTTTCGTGTATCCCTCAGCAGATGATATAATAGCAAATCGTAATGTTTCAGATAGCAAGGTACCATCGAATGCCTCTTCTACAGAATCTTTAGTGGACTCTCCTAGTTCTGTCAACTTCAGTGACGAAACTGAGTCTGCAATTAAAGAAGACATTGATGAACTTATTACACTCTTGCAAAAAGAGGAAAAGTCTGATTTAGTTGCTCATTAACTTTAATACGTTTAAAATTCCATCTTTTTCTAACTTCACTGGTTGAAGAACATTTTATGCATTAAATTATTCTATTCCTCTACACATGCGGGCGTATACTATATGTACTTCATTTATACTAACCTGAACACTTACAAACTGTAATGAATGAATGTAAAGAAATTTAGTCATTTTGAGAATATGTTCAAATCATATCGAGAATGCATGTAAATAAATGTCATAATGAGTATTTTTTTCGTGTTGTATTCAGTTTATGTGAAAGCACAAAACCTTATACTTTAGTATCCAATCGGATTTAGTTAATCTGCTTCATGTGAAAACCAGAATACCATTCTACTGCATGAGGATATATTCGATGATATATTCGCAAATGATAGGTGCGATATTTATTTACACGATTCTATTTAAGTTGGTTACTTTCATTTTTGTCTGGCTAAGTCATAAAATCAATTGAGCCACTTCTACCAAGCCGATATATTTTTAAAAATTACTCATGGAGATATTTGCCGTGAAAATATAAGCACAATGACTTTTATAAAATATGGTAAAAACTTTCTTATTGTTGAATTGTACTTTTTTTCTATTTTTCCCACATAAAATTTTTTAATGATTACCCTAATCATCGTCGACTTTCGAACTTTGCACTTTTGGATTGATTGTGTAACAGTCTTCTAAATTTAATATAAGTTTGGAACCGCTATTAAAATTATAGATGTTTAGTGATTTTGTTCAGATTTATTAATTGTGTGCTAACGAGGATTAGGAGGGTGCTAAAATTGATCAATTTTAAACTGAAATTATCGAAGAGAAATTTAAATGAATTGAACATAATCTTATACAATATCTCGGAAGAACTTAAAACAAACGTGATGTTCGTTGCTGGGCCAATTAGAAGAAACAATTTCCCGATGTTCAGCGGCAGTGGTTTTTTTTTTTTTTTTTTTTTTTTTTTTTTTTTTTTTTATCATTTTTTCCTTCGTTCTGCGAATCGAAAAGGGAAATACACACAGTTTAAGATAAAAATTTAAAAAGAATCTGAAAGCTTTCATATATTAATTTTAAAATATTTGACTTCGCATAATGTGTTGCTATTGCTCGCTTTGAAATCTTTGAGTTTCTTAATTAAAAATTCGTTAAAGTTTAAAAAAGTATGAAATTGATAATAAAACAAATTCTAAATTCAAGATTCCAGGTGCCCATGTTCGGGTGAAGGACTACGTTATTTAAAATTTTATGACTCTAGGTATCATTATTTTTTCCCAATGAGGAAAACATATACAAGTATAAAAGTGCAAGGTTAGGTTACTTTTTGAATACGCAAACCACTTTAAGGCTATCTGCCTAAGCAGAAGGATACCTTAAAGGAGATATTTCTAGCTCGTGTTCACGTTAGGCATAGAAAAAACCGCGAAAATGGACCATGCAATTTCTCCGTTCGTCTGGATTCGAGCCCAGAATAAACCACTAGTATTCAACAGTCTTTAGCCTATCAGTCACTGGTGGAGTACAAGCACGAAGAATGGAAATGGTCATTATAAAATCACAGGTATGAGTGATGAAGCGTGCGGGTGAGTGAGCTTATTGAGTGAGTTACGAGGAACCCTTCACATTCTGAGCTGTCATCCCAGCTTGAGGGTCCCAGTTGATCCTAAATTGAGGGCAGGTTTAATAGCACATTAGTATATAATGGTTCGTAATTTAATAGATTATTTTTTTATTGCTTTATTTAATGCGGTGATGTTTCATTTGCATAGTTTTAGCTTAAAAGTAATGTTGCTCATTCTCAGTTTTGTTTTCATACCTTTTCCCCCTACTCAAATTATTCGGAACTCCTAAATTAGTAGAGACTGAAAACAGCCTTTCTCCTACCCCACAAACTTGTACATAGAGATCACATTGTATCTAATAAAGCTTCTTCTCTCGTAGACCAACCAGATGTTCTTCTGACTCCTAGTTCCCAGCTTTTCTGTAAAACTTAGTTACTTAGCTTCAAGACTCTATAAGTAACGCCAGCACAACATCCAGTTAAGCTTGCCGTCAGTGATCGAGAATTTTAAATTTCTAATCGTTTTTCTCTAGCTGCTATCAAATGCCGCTCCAAGGGATGTTTCATAAAAATAAGGCATCATCTTCAGTATTCCTTTCATGTCGAACTCAACCTACGACACTTCTTAGAAATGCGGGCGTTTATCATACACCATGAACATCTATTTTTAATAACCGAAACATCTATACACTGTGATAGGACAATGCCCAGGAGCTCATCAACGGGTTTATTTTTTCAGCGCGGAAAGTTGCTGGCGCTGCTGTAATTAACAATGAAATAATAAAGATAGCAAAAAAACGTCAATGATGAAACCTGAATTAATATAGCTACCAGTACTAATTTTTTAATCAACTGAAAGGCATATAAAACTACAGAAATGATCATACTTTCTTTGCATTACATATCTGTACCACTTCACTTCGGAATCCCATACATTAGAAAGAAATGAAGTTTCACACAGTTGAATTTCATTTGCAATTAATTTTTGAAGCCAAGAAAATAATTATTCTGTAAATAAAATGAATTTTGATTACGAGCAACAGGTGAAGAAAACTTGCATGAATATATTACAAGAAATTTCTAAGGTTGTAAAATATAAAAACATGTTCATAAATTATTTTATCACTCTTTCCTGTTATTGCTCTTTTTTAAGTTTATTTTAATAATACTGACTGAATGAATTCGGGGGAAAAATTAAACATTGCAAACTATTAAGAACAAAATCTTTTTTCGAGTCCATGAAAGATGGCGCCACTACATGACTTAATTGAACCCTTTTTTTAGAAGGGGAGTGCCCAGTCTTAGTTCTTTCGTAATATTTTATAAATGTTTAGTGTTCGTGTACGTTTATCACTCAAATTTAATGCATCCTACCCTTCAAGCAGGGCTTAATTTCTAAGATTAGAAGTGCCGGAGTCTTACGGAAGACCGACAGAAAAAAGGAACAAGAATAAAGAAATAAATAAAATGGCTAATAGAATCATTATTAATTCAATATTTAAAGTAAGTTAATAAATAAAATTAAAAAAATATGAAAGCTTTCAGATTTGACATTACGCCCAAAAGGACCTTCTTTAATTTTTTGGGTGTTACATTTATTTGTTAAAAGCTCTTTATACTTAAACCATAAAATACAGTTCAACATCAATATCGCAAAATAATTTTATAATGAGCGTATCTTTAGAATTTCCGATACATAGCCTCGCGGGCTGGAGATAAAAAATGTTTTTTTTTTTTGGTACAGTTTTGCCATTGCTTGCTTTGAAATCGTTGAGTTTGTTCACCAAAAATTCGTCGAAGTGTTATAAAATATGAAATCGATAATAAAACAAAGTTCAAATTCCA